CCACCGCACACACACCACCTTCCATTTCTCTTCAACCACCCTACAGAGAATTCTTCTCCCTCCCTCTCCTCTCAAAACTAGAACCCTCACTGGCACCGTACCTGGGGCTTTTCTGGACAGTGAACCTGCTTAATCTCTACCTTCCTTTGCAAGCACCCTCCGCCCAACAGCCCTGAGAGCCTGTGATCGGCTGAGGCCTGCTATTGGGAGTCGGGGGCGCATGGAGACCTTAGAGAAGTTCAGGGGCGGGGTGTCTGTGGAAGAGTCCAAGGTCTGACCCAAGCCCCAGGAAGTGCTGGGGGCCACTTACCGGCGAGAGGGAGGCGGCAGCGGAGGGTGCGGCCCAGCTGATGCTGGTGTAGATGTGTGGCGAGACGGGAATCTGAAAGGATGGCAGAGCCTGCGAAGACAAGAGAGTGTCGTCCAAGGCTCCATCTCAGGAAGCTGCCAGGCCTAGCCACCGTCCCTGGGACTCCCCCTTCCTGAGCCCGGAGTCCCAGGGGTGACAGGAAAATGCAGGGACACAAGGGACTGAGCTTCTCCAGGGAGACAGCAGAGTCTCCAAACGCCTGGCATCACCCTGCATGCCTCGGCTCCCAGCTCTTCCGGAACTCTCCATAGGAAGCACTCACTGAGCTGGCTGGCATGCCAGCCACAAGATGTAATCAGCACCGGGGATTAAAAGCTCAGTTTGATCACCTACCAAGAACAAGATACAGGCGGGCGGTTCTCACACACGTCTAAAGGCTTGTTAACGCTGGGTGGCACTACTGGGGTATGTGCACCGCCTCCCCAGGCAACTGCTTGGAAGCAGACAGCACTTGCGTGGATACACAGTGAAGAACAGCAGCCGAACCCTCAGTACCGGCCACACAGGGTCAGTACCCAGCTGCTAAAGGGCCACCTGGAGCGAGGCAGACCTGAACTAGCCACCAAGGCACTTGTCCTAACAGGAGGGAACAAGCGCGGGCTCAGTTTCCAATCAGCTTTGCCTTTGAAAACACAGCTTTCTAGCAGCGAGCTTTCAGATCAGTCCAGAGTCTGGGAAAGCCAGGCTAGGCTACAGGCACACAGGCTTTTAAGAAAAGCTGGCACCCAGAAGCAGCAGATTCTGTGAACACCTATGAGGTTACAGGTTAGGCCCCCAGAATGCCGCCGGCAAGCCACCTCCCCAACCACAGACACAACTGCCCGCTCCTGCCTCTCCCCACACTCGGCTCTTACCTTTCGGGGAGGCACTTTGGACTAACCACCATATGGGGCACTGCTGACAATGCCCTACAATTTCTTCATGACACTTTTCACTATTTGCCACAAAGGGTCGGAGTAACAGTGATTTCTCTCTCCAGATACACTGTGCAACTTCACAAAGGCAGGAGTCAGGGCTTACTTTGATCTGGAAAGCTTAGTCCAAAACTTAACATGTTGTAGACATTTAAAAAAACAAACAAAAAAAGGTTGCCAAGATTGTTAATGGAATACAAGTCCAAGAAGTTGAGATTTTTCTCTCTACGATGCCATCCCTTTAGTTAGTAAACAGTGCTGTGATAACCCTAGTTACTTATGGAATCAGCTAGATTTTTTTCACCACTACTTGTGATAACTACCCACTGAGAATTCTGGAACTCCTGCATTTACTGGGTGTGAAATGACTGTCCTTTTCTTCTTTGTAGACGTAGAGAGATCGGCGGTTTGGCCAAGGGGTGTGCCCTTCTGTCTGGGCTGTTGGCCGTCTAGTATCCTGGCAGCCACAAGGATGAGCTCCCCGCCTGCCCCAGCCCCGTACCTGGTAGGCATGGTCGGCCTGAATGTGCCAGAAGGAGCCAGGAGCCGACTTGCTGAGAGCATCCACGGGCAGGTAAGACTCCAGGCCAGGGTGTTCTGGGCCTGTGGACTGGGCTTTGGGAGGTGGTGGTGACAGAATGGCAAGGGGGGTGCTGGTCAGGCTGGGGGTGGGAGCTGGCTCTGCGGTAGGGGCCCCGGGGGTGAGGGTGCCTGCGGCGGCAGCAGGAACAGCAGATTCATCCTTCATCTGCACCTCTGTGTAGTAGAAATCCTCCTCGCGCTTGAACTGCTCAGAGTCCCCAGTGTCCCTGTGTAGGAGGGAGATGCGGCCACGATTAGATGCAAGGCACCTCTGTTCAAAATTAAGGGACCCGGGAACTCACGGTGCTCCAGGCCACCAGCAAGCCAGGGAAGGAGCTCAAGAGAACAGCAGGAGCCCAACTCCTGATGTGGGGCCCCAGGGATTAGACTCTAGTGGGAATGGTTGATCCAGGTGCCTCAGGCTTCTGCTCTCACCGAACATGTGCAAACCTCTCCTCCCTGAGAGTCAGAGACTCCAAATTCTGCAACGAGGCCGCCAGGCCCCACCTATCTGTGGCTCAGCGCTTTCCTCCAGGAGGATGAGGCGGTTGCTCAGCTGTCAGCAGCCGTGAGGCTCAGCCGCAGCTCTGTGTGGAAATAAGTCCCCGGACCCAGGAGGTCAGCACCAGTGGAGCAGCAGCACCGCAGAACCGAGCCTCTCCACCCTGGCCAACAGGATGCCATCACGAATGCACCAAATGACCCTACTTTGGCCCTGAACCCAAACCAGACCGCTTGCTTCCTACAGAGAAGCAAGAAGACGCGCCCGGAAGTGGGGAGCCGTCCCTTTCCACCAACGGGCACACGGAGCGCCCACCCTGCTTCCCTCGCAGCAGGCCGGGTGGCCAGCCACTGAGGGTGGCAGGTGAACGGCGGGTGGTCTCCACAGGTGTCTTTCTCAAACGGATGCTGGGCTGTGGGTGATGAGGGAGGCGCAGGATGTAGGAATCGCCCCAAGTGGCACCCCAGGAAGAGCCAGGGCTCCATACCTACCCCAGGTGGAGGGCTCTGACGTGCCGTTTGATGCCCACGATGGAGCGCAGGACTTTGCCGCAGTTTGGCCACAGGCACTTGTACATCACCTTCAGGGAGTTCTAGGAGCAGAGGCAGGCGGGTGAGCGTGGGGTGTGTCCTCCGCCCCCACCCACCTCAGTCTGCGCCAGGAGAGGCCTCAGCTTCAACTGCCCACCACCCTCTGCCTTCTGGTAGAACCCAACTGTGGCGCTAGGGAGCTGAGAAATGGATGCTCGGAGAGCCTGGACCCAGGAGACAGGGTTTGATGCTGAAGAGAAGACTCCGCACCGGGCTCTCGGGCAGACACCCCTGCAGCCATGCAGAACAGAAGGCAGGGGTCGGAGTGTAGGCTAAACAGCAGAACGGCACTGGCGAAAAGGGACGAGCCCCTCCTGGGAGGGGTGAGGGAAACCTGCAATGGGCCCGAGCCCGGGAGCCAGGCTCCCGTCCACGTGACCCCAGCAGGTACCTTTCTTTTGCGTGGAGCTGGTTCGTCCAACAGGAAAGGGTCTGGGTCTGTTTCAAATCCATGATCTGTCTGAGGGGAGCCAAAGGCATCCCCCAAATACTTGGGGCTGGCCTGGGGGTGGGGAGGCGACGGGGTGGAAATGCCACTGCCCCCGCTCCAGTGCCCACTGGTGGTGCTGCTGCCGCTGTCCGACACGTCGCCGCTCTCCTTCCACAGGTCGCAGGCTGCACGGGACGCTGTCGGAGAGAGGGTGGACGCAGTTGTAGGGTGCCCGTGGTAGGGATCTGGGTCTGCCTGGGGCTGGGCTCTGTCTTGGCCACGTCCCACTCAGAGGCCGGCCCAGGTCTGGAGACCATGAATCTAGTCTAAGAGCCTGGGTTCTGGAACCTAGCTCCCGGCTTTGGCTCTGGCTCAACCTGGCTTTGCCACAACATGGGGAAGACAGCCACAGCTCCTGTGTGCGAGGGGAGAGGAACCACCTCTCCTGCCTTCTTCTTGGCCTCCCAGGGTGGGTGAGAACACACACTCACACGCACACGCACAGACACACAGAGTGTCTTCCAATTCCACTGGGAAAGCTGTCCGAATTCACCAGATGTGGCCGAGTTAAGTGCTCCTTGAAAAATATCTTTCAATAATTTGAACTCCAGCAAGAACATTCACGCCTGTGGGTGAAAAGAAACCACTCAGCTCCTCCCACCTCTAGGAGGGCAGGCTGTGCGCCGCCCCACTGGCTCCAGTTTCTATTGAGAAGAGGCCCATCTGGAGGGGAGAAGACAAGCCCGAGCAGTAATGCCGACCAACGAATCACCAGCTGACTGGAGGCTCTTCTGCCTGATACGGCCCTGAGCCCACTGCCCTGCACCCAACAGGGCATCTGAACAGGGACAAGTTCTGGTGAGGGGTGCTGGGCTCTCAGCTTTCCAACTGGCTGTCTCCAGGCTATCGTCCGCCCCACCCTCGTGCCTTCATGCCCTTGGCACACGTCTGGGTTCCTTTTGTATCGCAGGAGACTGGGGCAGCAGGGGTGTGAAGTATGCAGGGACCCTGCCCCACGTGCCTCAAAGCCCCCACTCCTAATTCGGGAGCCGCGGAGCCTCCTATTCCTGGAGGTCAGCGTGACTAGAACACCCTGACGGCAGTGACAAAATCCTCCTGCGTTTCTCTCATCCTGCTCAAGAGCCCAAATCACGTCTGTGCTCACCTGGACACCTGGAGCAGACGCTCAACTGTCCGTGTTTCCACCCAGCCAGTTGCGCCTTAAGTTGCTCATCCACTCAAACAGAATGGGGTCAGATGGATGGCACGCTTCCCTTCCTAAATGCCCCTGTCAAATCTCAAACCGGTGGCTTATACTTCTTAGAAAGCAAGAGGTTACTATTACATTTACACAGGGGGAGTACACCAGAATAGACCTTTAAGGGACAACTCAGACACTGCCCAACAGGCCGGCAGGTCCGGCAACGCCCACCCACTCAGGAAACCTGGCAGGGATCCAAGTGCCACGCAGGAGAAAACTATAGGGAAGGACACAGGACCCAGGGCAGCTCAGACGGAGACAAGCCCTGTAGTTCAGGAACAGAGCAGAGCCACTCCTAATGGCTCAAACCCCAAAACTGGGAAATTGGCATACTGAGGGAGAAAACCTCAAAACAAAGCAAAAATCTAAACTGACCTTTTAGTTACGTGACCAATATAGGTCACTCCTAAGTTACTCTACTTAGGTAGCAAGCTTCCCGAGTACAAGGGCAATAGGTAGTATTCAACACTAAAAAAATAGAGTGGTCCATTGGAAATGGGAACCACTGAGAGTTTACAGTGACCTTTTAAGAAATCGTTATAACTTCCTCTGCCCTTGCCATCTCTACACACACAAGGAACACAGAGACCAAAGGGGTAGATCCCGACTGAGGTGCACGTAGAGCGCCCACCATGAGAGCCAGGTGCTTGCTGGTGATCTACCTGACGCTGCAGAGTAGTTCAGTATCAGTAGCTCTTGACATACTCAGTAATATTAGCTGCCAACAAAGCCTTTTTCTGGGGTAAAAATGCAAACAAGAAGACATTTGCCTGTTCACCAATTTTCACATGCATCATTCAGCGATACTGGCCACACACATTATGCTGGGCAAACACCGCCCTGCCAACATGAGCACAAAGAAGCTCTATTTTCCCCCACAGACTTATGGACTTCAACAACAGAATCAGAACTATATTGTGAAGGGAAAGGATCTGTATTATAAAAAAGATATCAAGATTATGTCCTATTATCAGTGGCATATGTATATGTTGGGGGCAGTGTTTATATATGTAATATACATACACACATACACTTCTGCTGGGAACTGGAGTCAATTACTTTCTTTCCCTTTCTATTTCTATTAGCTCTCTGCCCTAAATCTCTGAAGCCTGGAGACTGCCCTGAGAACTTGGGAGGTGAATCTTTGGCTTGTGCCACTCCAAAGTGCTAACTGCGCAGACACGTGATCATCTGATCAGCTTCACCACTAGGCTCTCCCTGGGGTGCAGTGAGTTCCTTGAGCAGCCTAGTCCCTGGGTGAAAGATTAAAGGCGTTATTTACCGTGCCTGTAAATTTACTTCTCTGAAAGGAGACTGCATACAGGGGATACCTGTTGGAGCCATCTTTTCCTCCTGCCATGGGCTTAACAAGCCAACCCCCAAGTTCTTTAAGTCATTCACAATTCAGTCAGATATCACCAATGGAAAAGTTACTCCCTGAGAGTAAACCAGGGCAGCCCTACAATGATGTTCAAAAATAAGTAAATATGTCAAGTTTACTCCCAGCCTTATCAAATGACTAATATCCAGCAGACCCTTCCTCCAGTGTTACTGATGATGTATTTGGGAATCAAACTAGAAGAATTTTTGTCGATTCCTACAAACTCGCTTTAGAGCAACCCCATGGGTTTTGATTCAGCCGTTAGATTTGGTTTCGATGTCCACTTGATTCATGCCAGGCCCTTGACTTGCTTGGGGGATGCTGTATGCCATCAAGTCAGTTCCTACTCAGGGAGACGCTAGAGCCCCCCACGGGGTTTTTCAGGCTGTAGTCTCCCATTAGGAGCAGATTGTCAGCTCCTTTCTCCTGCGGAACCACTGAAGGCTGGATCTGCCACCGGGGACCCTCCTTGGCCTGCAAGCCCGCACTAATTTCCCAGCCTGAAGCAGGTACTTGGAATGGGACGTGGAGGGGAGGAGGCATTTAGTTTATTTCTACATTGTGAACTAAATACTCCTCTGCCGGCCCTCTCCGGTCCCCTGGCAGCAATGTGCCTCACTTGGCTTGCTCCCATAGAAACGACGCAAGGGCGTGGGGAGGCTCGGCCCTGGCTCACTCATCTTCACCGCACACCAGGACCTCCTCCCAGACGCGGAAACGGAGGGAAGTGAATGGAAGCACCGAACTAACGTGTCACTCAGCAAGTCTCAGATGCAAGAGAGGGAGACTGTGGACCGCCAGCCTATGACCCGGCTGGTGATCTCCACTACCGGCTGCCTAGAAGCCAGCCCTTGGGCAGCTGCTGCACCCAGAACCCACAGAGGCCCCGCTTGCTCACCGGAGAAGTTGGCCTCAGCTCCAGGAGGGCTCTGCACAATTGGGCTGCAGGACAGGGAGGTCAGTACCATGGCGGCCATCATCTCGTCCATTTCCACTGCGTCCGACTTCCTGGATTCCAATGCACAAGGGTCAAAGGTTAGTTCCTGAAACGGCCAGTGCTTGCCTCCTTTAGAACTAGATGCTGCTTCCAGTTATTTCGCTAATGATTATTCTTGACTTCGAGATTGTCCCTTCCAAACCTCCACCCCAATCAGCGAGTGTGTCGTTCAAATGTGGTACGTGAACAAGGTCTCTGGCACTACTCTGCAAGGAACACTCATTCAGAGTTGCCTTGACTCGGTTAGCCAGCCCTAGTGGAAGCAGGCCATCCCACTGCTGACACCTGAAGTAGGCTGCTCTGTTCTCTCCTGACTGAGCTTCCTAATGCTGCAGCTTAAGTGGGGAATTTTATGTAGAGCAGTGGATCTCAACCTTCCTAATGCCGTGACCCTTTAATACTGTTCCTCATGTGGTGACCCCCCAACCATAAAATTATTTTCATTGCTACTTCATAACTGTAATTTTGCTGCTGTTATGAATTGGGAGACTCCTATGAAAGGGTCGTTCGACCCCCAAAAGGGTCGCAACCCACAGGTTGAGAACCGCTGATTTAGAGGGAAGAAAGAGTCAAAACAATGAGGTGAAGCTCTGGGATAAGAAGACACCCACTAGAAGTCAAAGGCACATAACATGACTTCCCCTTTCCCATCTGATACTTAAATTCAATAGGGAACAACTGAACTCACTGAGCCCTCCCAGTGGAAACACTCTTAACGCTTCCGGAGGGCAACAGAGCAGATGATATAAGCAATGTGCAAACCAACGGAAAGCACGCGAGGAAACCTGGTGTCAAGGCTAGCACTTCATAGAGTAGGATGCCATGCAATGTATATGCAATTTTCCAAATCCATATAAAGCTATACTGGTTAGATGTACAATTACAGTGGTCTCTAAGTTCATGTCACAGAATACTATGAAAAGTTAGTCTGAAATAAAATTTGAGGTGGTGCATCTAGTCCAAAGAGCTGTAATTCATCAATTCTTTATAATTCAGGTCCAGTGATTTCGTGAATGGGTATGAATCCGCTAAGTCAAGAGTACTGTCAAATAAACTGACCACCCTACGGACATGACTTGAATTTGTTCTGGGTGCAAGTACTTCTTACTGGTCCATGACAGAAACTTCTTCCCTGGCTTTTTTATTATTGCTGGGGTCTTTTCCTTCTTAAGCATTTGTGATAGTTAGGTTTACTGTGCCAACCTGGCCAATAGGAACATGTGGGATTAATAGGGTCACAGTTTGATTGAAGGGCAGAGATAAATGGTTCTGCAAGGCCTGCCACCGGCCCTTGCTCTCTGGTGATCAGAGTGTGCTAGAGCCTGTGTGCTGCTGCTGTAGCCAGTTCTCTGCCTCAGTCTGTGAGCTGCACTACCAGTGGGCCGAGCCAACCTGTGGATAGTGTCACTAGAGCTTGAGGCTCATTCAAGACCTGCTTCGCCATGCTGCTAGTGCATATATTGCTTCAGCTTGAGGCTGGTGGATTCTGTCACCTTGCATTGCTTGCATTTGATATCCCATCCAGGCCTGCTTGGCTAAGACCCTGTGGGCAGACTCTGCTTGCCTTGCCCCAGGGAGGACTCTGCTGACTGCTTCCTTGACCTTGGACCGAAAAGCCCACATGAGTGTAAGGACTTCCAGTATATTAACTGTTCCATGGAAGTGAGTTGAACTGAACCCTCTGTACTGCTGTGTGGACTAATTAGCTGTTATATTCCTTCTTACTGTGTGTGTATATGTATAAATAAAGTGTCCTGGTTTCGCTTCTCTAGAGAACCTAACAGCATTATTGATATTTGTGTCCGTATACTATTATGTTTTTACCCTCACTACCTTAGCGTGATTTTGTTTTCTATTGCTTTCTATTGGGTCTCTCAGCTGTGAAACACAGGAAGAGTGGATGCACAATGATAATAACAGCTACAAAGGAATAGAGGGAATATAAGGGGGGGGATAAGTAGGAAAAGGGGATTCTAATTCATTAGTAGTAACTAATGAAGATGAAGATGGGGGGTGAGCACTAGAATGGATTATGATTGCATAACTCATCTTAAAGGCGATTTAACCTTGGGGAGGGGGTAACGAATGTTCTAAAACTGATATGGGAGTAGATTGTACAATTCTCTGTGATATGACTGAACTACTGAATTGTATGATATGTGAAAAAAGAAAACTGCTAGGAAACAAATAAGCAAAAAGAGTACTGGCAAATTGTATTAGCATCCGCTGTCTCAATTTCTTCTCCTTTTTCTTTTGTATGATCTTTGTATTTCCATTTCCACAGACTAGAAAAACAAATTATTTGCCAGTACTCACTGAATACACAATCACAAATATTGTTGCTCAGGTCTGGTTCTCCCAAAACACTGGGTCTACTGTCGCTGGCAGGGACACCCAGACAAGGGACACCCACGGTGTGGGATGGGAAAGGGCTTAACTGTGGCATATCCTATAGAGAAGAAAGTCTGAGTTGATGGGAGACTTCCTTCATAAATTGTCAAAGATTAATGTACACAGTAGAGACCACACAGAATTAGAATACGGGCTCTCGGGAGAAAGTTCTGTCCCAAAACTCAGCAAAGGAATGCATTCCTCACTCATCTGTGGTTTTGCGCCGCTAAGCCGGCAGTCAGCGGACCACGGGCGTGGGCTCAGTCTGGCCTGGTGCCTGCACTTGGATGGCCTGTGAGCCACGACTGTTTTTCACATTCCTAAAAGGTCCTTTAAAAAGATCGCAAGAAGGGTATTATTTTTTTGGCACGGGATACACGGTAATGACATGAAATTCAAACCTGAGTGCCCAAACGCAACGTTTTACTGGCTCACAGCCACACCGCTCGTTTGTGAACTGCTGGTGGTGGCTTTGGTGGATGGGGGAGCGCGGAGGATTGTGGAGTGGTGCCAGCAGTGACTGTGGGCTAATACAATAGTTACTACCTGGCCCATTCAGAACAAGTCAGCTGATTCCTACCGAAGGCCTTCCTTCCCTGCCTCTTACCACGCAAAACTCAGATCAGGTTGTAGTTTAAGCAGGAGGAAGAAGGAAAAGAGCAGCCTCTGGTCAAACCACGATGCCTCTGTGACATCAGTTACAGAGAAGAAAAGATGTCATCCCAGCTTTCCAAAGACTGAGAGCTGTTCTCCGTATCCCATTTGCCCCATATCTTGACGATGAGTCCCACGTTCCATCCCTCACTCACAACCCACAACCAAATACCTCACACCACCCACCCAACTTCCAGAGACCAGTCATCAGATCCTTCCCACACACAAACCTCTTTGGGACGTCAATGTTCCTGGAGACGGGCCTGTAGGCAGGCGCCTGGGCACCCTGCTCCATGGGTGGGGCCTGGGGAATGGCACCCTGCAGACTGGCCAGCCACACCTCCTCTGCTCTACAGCAGATCTGTAACTTCTGGTCCAAGAGCCAGACCGTCACCTTATCCTCCGCCCAGCTGTGCTGCTCTACCAGGCCTGCACACTCCTGGCCCCCATGCCACACACAGACCTGGGAGGAAGAGAAACAGCAACAGTGGTCAGCTCTGCGGGGAGTTCTCACCACCCCACTTCCAGGAGTCAGGGCCTGCCTGGCACACACAAGCTGCTTCTCGGGCTCGCTCATCTTTATTGCAGCTGGCACCCCATCTGAGCATTCACACTCGCCAAACAGGGCCCATTCATCAACTATCCGGAATGGAACCAAAGAGTGGCCAGTTCTGGGGACTGTATCTGAACTGGGCACGTACTCATTCCTGCCGATTCCTTGTCCAACCTCGCCTTTGATGTCCCTGCAGATTGGTTGGTTCCAAACTGCTCCCTTGAGTGGATAGTATGCTACATCTTTTCCTTCAGAGAATTCTGAGTCTGCCTGGGGGGGGAGGGGGGAGGTGAAGAGGGAGATTGGCCTCTCTCAAAGGGCACCTGGACGTTGGCAGACACCTTGCCTTGTGGGAGGGAAGACGGAAGAGAGCGTCTCCACTGCTGGGGCCCTGAGTGGGAAAGGAAAGAAAGACCCCTGCACCCAGATCTAATGCTCACATCAGGTACAAGGGACAGGAAAAGGCACCTAAATTCTGCACAAAGGGACATCTTCACCTCTTGGAAATGTCTGAAGGAATTCCAAGACGCGATCTTAGCAGGCTCTTATAAGCCTGAGATGTACCACCTCTGGCTTGGTGGAGCAGCGAGCTGTACACAGGAGAACCCCGGCACTCCACCACATCAATACTCCACATCATGAGATTTGAAGTGAAATGCCGAGAAAATTCTACATTGAAGCCCGAGCAAAACATTGGAATCTGACCCGACACGTGATTTTTGTAAACAAAAGCAGTTCATGTTTCGGTCACTCGGCGTTAGTTGGTGTTGTTAGTATGCATGGCTTCAACCTTTAGCAGCTGTGTTCAAAGCGTTTTGCTACAATTTTCTCAGTTGTTGTGGCATTTTGTACTGTTTTGAGATAGAAAACAGGGGTCCTAAAAGTTTTTTGAAAAGTATCATCATGATAAGGAACTAGTTAACCATGTTATTGCCGATGACAATGTAGTAAACCTTTTTAGAAAATAGTTAACGAAATGCTGACAGCAGACCACATTAGACAGATTTTTTTTTTTTTGAGAAAGTGAATCTACTGAAAAAAGGCAAAGAAGGGGGAAAAATCCTGAAAAGCAACTACCAATTTATTTTATGGAAGGAGATTCCCCTTCTAAACAATGACTCTCTCTCCAGACCTCCTCTCCAAATCCGTGTACACAGATGCAGATCCTCATCAATCTCAAGGTATGGGCCATACTGTAGTTGTTAAAAAATTTTTAAAATGTTATGTTTCTTATTTAAATTATATTATTTAACTTTAAATTATACTATTTAACTCTGAACCCCCTTACTTTGAAATTTCTGTGTAATGTTTTGTATAAACAGGCAAAGTTAAGGTAAAAACTTGGTGGCCCAGAATGGATTGATCCATTTTCAGTTATTTCCTTTAGGAAAACTTGATTCGAAACTGGACTGCTTCGCCTCTCAACGCTCCTTCTGGAATGGATTAGTTTTGAGGTCCAAGGTCCTACCGTAATTGAAGAAGAAAAATGGCCCCACGGGCATGCTTTGAGCTGAGGCTGGGAGGAGGCCGACACCCACAACGATAGAGGCCTGGTCGTGTGAGCTCTCCCCCCACTGCCTCCCCCCACACCCCAGATCCCACGACCAGGAAGGAGCCCTCCAGGAGCTCTGGGGTCACTAGTGAAGGCACCTCCTCTTGGGGCAGCCCACATGGCTGGAAGCAAAGGTCTGTGGTCCAGCTGGTGCCCTGAGAGTTTTCCTCCTGCCCCCAAGGGGCATCCTGAGCCTCCCGGTCCCATCCTGGGCAGAGTGGATACCGGGCACTGACCCACCTTCTGACCAGGTTGAAAAGCCACCTGCTGGAGGCCTGAGAGGCCTGGTGCCTGGAGGCCTTCCTTGAGTTGCTCCTGGCAGGAACGGTCCTTGTAGGTGAGGAAGGGCTGCGGGGCAGCCCTCTCCAGCAGCTCCACGGGAGGTTCCGAGGGCTGGGCGGCTCCTCCTGACCCATCTAAAGCAATAGGTCCCAACACCCTGGCTCCCAGGAGGGACCGCTTGCCAAGGCGCCGGGAAAGCACACTGGCCATGCTGCTGCCTTTCCTGGGGAGGCAATGAGAGCACAGAGTCTGTTAGCCTGGGTGGGGAGGAATCCGGAGGTGAGGGCTACCTTCAGCATGCACACACACACCGTACACACAGAAACATCTGAAAGCAAACCCAAAACACAAACCCTTCCGGAGCCTGCCCCCAGAGAGGCGGGCAGCTTTTGGCCTTGGGGTGTGCCGGGCGGTCTTCCACAGCCCTTTGCTGCTCCTGCTGGTGGACTGGACTTTAAGTGGGCATATTGAACAGGTTTGAGTCTCTCCAGAAATAGTACTCTACAAAAGCACACTTAAAAGCTGCAAGTAGTGTCTTGGGGAGTCGGGGGGAGGGGGAAGGCTGTCTACTGCTAAGCGAACACGGTGTCCTGTTGTGCCTTCAAGTAGCGGCAGTGAGCATCATCACGCACCTCGACGGCCGCTCCTTAGCTTAAATTCCCGAACGCCAACTGGCTAGGATAGAGCACTGGCCTGCCACAAGCAGAGAACTTGGACCGGCTACCTTCAGATCTGCACGGAGCCATTGATGCAAACTGGGCCGCTTGTCACGTGCAGAAACAAAGCCCAAGCCTCCTGACTGGTGATCCTTCTTGTCTTGCCCATTGCCATCCTCCCAAGCTCCCCTCTGAGAACTGACTTCCACCCACTCACAGTCCACGGGCCGGAACGCTGCAGCTCCTGACAAGCAAACCCGGCTCCTCTGATCCTACAGAAAGCTGCTGGTGAAGGGGAATCTCAGACCCAGCACACCACAAACACCCTCCTTCTGCGAGCCCGCCAGCCTCTCAGCTGTCCAGCAGGTCTTCTCCTCAGGACCAGGCCCGTGCTCCAACACTGGTCTTCCAGTGCCTGGTCCTTTCCTGTCCGTTTATTTACCCCTCTCTGGAACACCGGACAGGCTAATCCCACACAGCTCATTAAGCTAAGCACTGCCAGAAACTGCTCCAACCACATTCACACACACACACACACACACACACACACACACACACACACACACTCCTCTTCCAGCTCCATTCACACCAAGAAAAAAACCTGTCACCACAACTATTGGTTCAAACATGTTTGAATCAGTCAAAACCATCTTACCTTTTACCTCATTTAAAAATACCTCTGGGCTTGGTGTGGGTCCCTCCCAGGTTATCTCCATTTCTCCCTCACCCTCCACTCCCTGCCAGCCATCCCAGCAGGCCATGCTAGAGAACATCCCCACAATAACAGAGTGAACGGCTAACAATCATCATCACTTTAAAATATCGTCATAAAGTTGTCACTGTTAAGAAGAGCTTGATCTTTTTTTTTTTTAACAAGTAAGTTATTCAAACTTCACGAGCTGAAATTAAATAGCACCCTGTTTCCACCAGGAATTCCCTAGAAAGCAAAGATAAAAGTCAGAGTCTCCGCAGTCATACAGTGCCTGGTGACTTTATACCCACTAACCTTGGACTGCTAACAGCAAGGTCATCAGTTGGGGACCAGCAGCCACTTCCCTGGAGAAAGATGAGGCTTTCTACTCCTGTACAAAGCCAGTCTCAGAAACCCACAGGAGTGGGGTCCTACCCTGTCCTATAGGGTTTCTGTGCATAGGAATCCACTTGATGGTAGTGAGTTTGGGTGTTTTTTGTTTGCTTGCTTGTTTGTTTGGGTTTTTTTTTTGGGGGGGGGGGCGTTTTTTGGACCGTTATATCAAAGGACCGGACTATTAACTTCAAGGTCAGAGGTTCAAGCCCACCAGTAGATCCACAGGAGAAAAATGATGCTGGCCTGCTTCTTTAAAGAGTTAACAGCCTCGTAGCCCTACACAGGGCTGCTTTGAGTTTGGCTGGCTGGAAGTGGGCTTTTTGGAAAACTGTTATCAAAAAGTTTTACTAAACAATGGAAAGGGAGAGCAATATGTAAGGTGTAAATTTCACTACCAAAAATGCATATTGAGGAGAAATTCATTTTCAAGATTCCATTTGCTTACCTTCTTTCTCAAGTCTCAGGCCAGAAACAAATGGCTCTAAC